ACAATATCAAAAAACCTCAAACTCCTCGAACTCAATTACAATATGCTTAATCAAGATAAAGGTTAATTCACTGCTTTAATATAATGTATGATTGCACTATTAACTTTACATTAAATTGTTTTAAAATTGTTAAGGAAACCTTTATTTTTTAACTCTTCAATGTTAGAATTAAAAAGAAACAATGATTGAAGAGTTTCCCTTGAGTTTTTTCCCATTTAAAGACTCGGCAATCTGCGACTTGGTGACTTGGGGCACTTGGTGACTTTTTCAACCTTATTAACAACCTGCTTTCATTTCAAATGAAAGTTGATAGAACATTGTCAGTATGATTTTGTTAGTGTTAACATAATCTTTTTAATTAAATATTGCTTTGTTTCCACTACTATCAAATCCAAACTTTATTTTCACTATTATTATTATCACTGTTTATATTTAAAAAATGTTCTCCAATATCATTTGCATCGTCAGTATAATAGCCTAAAATAGACTGAAGTGAACACCAGAATAAGGTTCAAGATAATTCATAATAACTGGTGTTTAATAAAAAACCCCAAAATGTGGTTAACCTAATATTTTCACAAAAAGATCATATATTCATAGTTTAACTATGAATCATCATAAACATAGTTTAACAAAGTTGTTCTTCAGTTTAATAAAGTTGTTGTTTACGTCCAATTTTTTCTAAGGTATTTTAGTAAGATCATATCTTACCTTCCTTTCTAATAAATTGATGCTTCAGATATATTTAATTAGAATATGTTTGTAATTATATAAATTTTTATTGTATGATTAGAGTAATCTAAAGTATACTTTTCAAGCAAGGTTTCATTATCAGCCTCAAATTGTATACCAGCATAGCCCATTTTTTTAAGATTATTTTTCTTCAGATGCTTAAATTTTTACCAGCTTTTCTGAACTAATGTTTTTTGTGCTAATCTTAATTCATTGGAGCCAAGTAACTTAGCCATTATCAGTATACAATCTGTTATATTTGCAGATATAGTTTTTGGTTGTTTATCTTCCTCAGCAATAAAAATTTTAAATAAGTTGAATTTGGTGAGCTTATTATTAAACTAAAGGCATAAATATTTTTGTTGATTCATTTTTTAATAATTTTTTAAACAAAATGATTTAAACTTAAAACAATATAATATAATTCAAAATATAAACAAGTTCACGTGATCAGTGAAAATATTATATTATTATTAAATACATCACAGACTTCTCAGTTTTGACTCTTGCACTTTGTTCATTTTAAAACAGATATAAATGCTACAATATTTTTTTATTAATAGATATCAACTAATTTGATTAAATTTGATGAAAAAAATTCAATGGAAAAGAAGGGAAAGGGGAGTGGTGGGATGTTAGTCAAAAATTAGTCTTGATTCTTTTTTAATTTCTAGATATACACTTTTATTGAACACATCATTGTTCATTACTCTGTACAAAAAATATGTACAAAATAATGTGTAATTGTTTCCATTAATTTTTTTAAATATATTTTACAACAAATCTAAAACAAAGGGGTAGGGTCATTCTTTTACTTTTTTTTTTTGTTTTAAAGTGCCAAGTTGGTGCAGTTTAGTTAAATAGCACTTTATTCCTCATTGTTATACGAATTTAAAAATATATGGATTTTCTAGCGCCAACTTAGAACTCTTGAAAGCAATTCAAAACACTAAAATGTTGAACTTTGAAATTAAAAACATTAAAACTTTGCTAAATTTTTATCGTTTTATATTATTTTTTGTATTACATGTACAAAAAATAAGTTGTGCAATAATCTATGAAGTTAACATTCCCATTTCCATAACCTGCAGTCTAAGATTGTTTCTACATGCAATTATCACATTAGCACTGCTTATATATTGACATTTATTTTTATAAATAGCAAAAATAGCTTTTAGGTATCCTTTATACCTATCATCTATCTTTTGCAACAAAATTATGTTATTTAATCTTGTATATTTTCTAAACAAATCATGCTTTTGAAATAATTTTTTTTTTTCATAAACTGGAAATCTATTTGGCTTATTTTGGTAACATTGCTTTTTGAGCGATGTCCACTGTTTGGCCCACTGTGAATTCCATCTTGAATCTAATAATTTACTCTCTGAAAATCAATATTATTTTCAATCTTCTTGTTCTACGGCTGACTTGCTAACTACTCAGACTAAAAGAATCTGTTGTGCATTAAATAGTTACAAGGAAAGAATTATTGCTCTCAACATATCTGAATCTTTCGATAAGGCTTGGCATGCTGGCCACCTCCATAAGCTTGCTTCTATGGTGTATCTGAGATAATATTTGAAACTGTTAAAGCATTTGTTTATAACTGCAGTATTTAAGTATATTCAGAGGCCAACACTCTTCTTTTTTTCCAGTAATTTCAGGGGTACTTCTAAAAGGTTTTATCCTTTGTTCTGTTTTTTTTCTTATCTACATTAATGATCTTCCTGACAACCATCTAAAGTGGTTCTATTTGCTGATGACTCAACTTTATGCTCTTGTCTTGACAAAAATCATCTCATTTTGATTGCTTAGAACAAACAGCCGATCTTGAATAAGATCTCACTTCTGTAACAGTTTAAGGGCTTGCAATAGCTTGTGAATTTTAATTCCAACAAAACTCAATTATTTACTGCAAGCAACTTTCACAACACTGTTGACATTACTCTTCTTTATGTCTTCTTGTGTTATCATTCACTACTGACCTCTTATGGAAACCAATCGATTGCAAAGTTAACATCTTAGCAGATGCCATCATGCCATCGATTGCAAAGTTAACATCTTAGCAGATGCCATCATGCCATCGATTGCAAAGTTAACATCTTAGCAGATGCCATCATGCCATCGATTGCAAAGTTAACATCTTAGCAGATGCCATCATGCCATCGATTGCAAAGTTAACATCTTAGCAGATGCCATCATGCCATCGATTGCAAAGTTAACATCTTAGTCGACATCTTAGCAGATGCTTTATTGTTATTATCTTACTCCTGATTCCATTTTCTTCTTGTTTGAAATACTGTTGTCATATTTTGGGTTAGCTTTTCTATTGATGCTCTTTTTCTTTTTGATAATGTCTACTACACTCTAAATTTAGTTGGACCTGCTTTATTAGCCAAGCCTGAGCCTCTCTCCCATTGTGGTAAGGTTGCATCTCTTTCTCTTTTTTATTAATAGTATCATGGTTACTGCTCAAAGAAGCTATCATTTCTAGTTCTATTAACTAAAACTCATTATTGCTTGCCTTGTCATTCAGCAAAGTCTCATTCTTTTACTGTATCTATTTCTGCATGCTCTAAAAATTTTTATTTGTCTAGTTTTTTCCCTTGCACTTTAACCCTTGCAACCTACAACTTTTCAAGTTTTCTGTCAGTCGTTTTCTTGCTCTATAACTCTATTTTTTTTTTTAAGTTACTCCCAATTTAATAATGGTTGAGAGTCAGTTAGATTTAAAAAAAAAAGCTCATAAACCTGACAAATATCTGTTCAATAGGTTTGTCTTTAATGTTTAACGGTTAATGGTCAATGGTTAACGGTTGAAGCATTATTACAAAGTAAAGAAAGAAAAGAACATAGAAACATAAAACATAGAAAGAAAAAAGAAAAGAAAATATAAAGAAAAAACAAATCAATATACCAACATTCAAACTAAAAACTTACAAGAGGTATATAGATAATTTTCATACTTGCTTTGAATTAAAAAGCAACAAATGTTTCTTAACAGTTGAATTTGACTAAAAAGAAAGGTATATTTAGATGTTTTGAGGACAAGAAAAATGATATTAATGGAAAAATGACCAGTTTTTTTTTGTTTAAGCAAGTTAGTGTTTAAAAATAATTTTGTTTTTTATTTTATGCTTTTTAATGTTGTCTTTTTAATAATACAAATAATACAATAAATTGCATTGGATTTCAATCCAGCTAAGCATAGTGATTGATAATGCTATACCATAGCAGCTTTAGTTTGTTATTACATTAATAACGAACTTTACACCAGTGTTTATCCAATCCTGCTTTTTCAATAGATCAGATGTTTTTGTTTTTCTTTTTTGAACTTTTTACAAAAATTTTATATTGTATTCAGTATTCGAATTCTATACAGGCACAGTATATTCTAAATTAATAGAACTATATAATGCCTTTTTTGAGGCATTATATAGTTCTATTTCCAAAATGCATCACTTTGTATTTGTAAGCTTTCAATCAACTAAGAATCACACCACTACATAGTCTAAATCTTATGTCATGTTTTGATATATATATATATGTATATATATATATATGTATATATATATGTATATATATGTATATATGTATACATGTATATATATATATATATATACACATATATATGTATTTTATATATATATATTATATATATATATATGTATATATTATTTATATATATATATATATATATATATATATATATATATATATATATATACACGTATATATGTATTATATATATATATATATATTTTTTTTTTTATTTTAATTCACCTCCTCAAGGCCGAGAAGGCCACTACAGACGAGGAGGCTACTTATTGGCTATAACCCTCTCTCAACTCTATAACTCCGAAACACGAACTTTGACGAACAAGGCCGCTGCGCGGAGAAACGAGTTGAGCGCAGTACTACCAGGG